AGTTTTATAGCCAAGAAATGCGTAGAGAAGTTTGCAGTACGCTGCAGGACTCGCTTTCACTCACCATTACCTCTAAAAATGCTGAAAAATACGGAATCGACTACAGAATTGGAACGGTCTCCATGCTGGCATATGCCATTCAATACCTTACTGGATAAAACTTCTCAAACTGTTTCTACATCAACTTGAGGCCAATGCAATAAGCAACATTAAAATGGTTGATCGATTGAACCAAGTCTAATTGCATTGGCTTGCCATTGCACGAGTAGACCATAGCGTGGACAACTGGGCATGCAAAAATGGAGACGAGGAGGCATTAATAAGTACACTGCCAATAAGGGATTCAATATATTATATACTGCGCTATAAGCGATTCAAACTAGGATTTAGGGCATTATGCTAACTCTGCTGCCTGTTTACTCGATATTTTACAAGAGTCTAATTTGATCACAAAGAGTAAGTTAGAATATGGACTACTACATGAATTTGTCATCTTATAGACGACTGTGCAATGGCGAATTTGGACACACTACTATACTGTAGTAGCAAGATACACTAATTCTGCATTAAAAACTGCACTGAGTAATCATGCACATCCATAGCTGCAAATTGCAATTCCTGTCTGTTAGGATTACGATTGATTTGTTGGCATTCCATGGGCTAAAACTTGATTCTATCCAGTTTTTCTTCTACTGTAGTGAGCTACAAATACTTTCTGCCAGTCTTGGCTAACCTTGTCTTGATCGAAACGATAGAATGCGGTGAAATTGGGCAGAAAACCTGACTGAATGATCAAATACACCAGTTGCAATAGATGCCAATACCATGTCCATACTGTAATTTTCCAAGCTATGGCTACACAAACGAAATGGCTACATTGTTGGTTATAAGGTTGGATCAGTCTTTTAACCATAGAGGTATTTTTTCACTTGTATCGTTTTAACTGATTTTAACGTTGGCTCATGGACGAAATTGTTTCCAACGCCTTTTCTACTCATGCAAGTTCTCAATCTATCGTAACTTGCAGTATATTGGCTGTGAAACTGGCGAAAAATAGCGACTTTTATGGCTGTTGATACTATGGCGGGACCTACTAATGTAAGAACTGTGTAGAAAGTATGAGACTTGATCATTGCAGATCTACAAATACTCCTATTGCAAAGAAAGCGGTAAAGCTAAGCCAATTTACCTCACTTACATTACTATTACTTGCCTAGCGATTGTGCCTTCCACAGTCCTCGTATCTTAATAGAACTCATTTTTAGCATGGAAAAGAAAACATGGAATGCGTGACTGGGTGTTTTACTACGTTACAGTCAACAGTGTCTTTATTCATCGATCGAATGGTTAGATTGCCTAACGATGCTTACTAACTACTCAAGAGAAATCCGATTCAACTTAATGAAGAGAGAGAAATCTTGACTAACCATGATTGGTCCAATGAAACTTGACGCTTTCTTCCTTCCTTCCTTCTTCAAGCCATGTGGTGAAATTCCATTGACTTGCTGAATTGTAAGTAAATTACTTTATCGAATGAATATGAATCAGAAGCAAGACTAACTGAGTTGATATCTCGATCAATTTATCTTACAGATTCTTGGATTTAATTCGCTGAAAGATTCTTTTGAAATACTAACTAACATCGTCGTAAATGTTAGCATAACAAGCCAGGGGGAAGATTATGGCGACATGTTAGTAATGAAGCTTTAGGGGTAAACTACCACTCACTAAAGGAGCTTCTGAAAGGCAAAGTATCCCTTTTCAATAGGTAAGTGTTTATTTAAATATCACAGCAGTAGCTAGCAGTGTGGAGAGAGTAGACATTTCTGTTAATACGGTACTATCATCATCATTGACACAGTAGAAAATTCCCTCATGGAATGATTGACACAGGTCCATTCGTTTAAAGTAAGTAAGACAAGTTTGAACTTGATAGTCAATCTACTGTCTTGGCATCATCTTGCAGTGTAATGCAAGATGATTTTCGACATCATTCACAGTACAGTACATCTGTCTACAGTTAACTAAGACCTCATTAAGCCATTAATCAATTATAATTCGTTTCCATATTGATCAATAGCAACATAATCAATGACAAGCAATGATTGCTTTCATGGATGATGCCTATGCGATTTCACTTTTAAGTTAATTGCGTTGGTAACTTTGTTTCACGGTTCAACTGGAAAATGAATTTACCTACGTTCAAGTATGTTATAAGCCAGCTGATGAATGGCCAAGATTTGCGCCAAGCATAATTTACAGGCTTAATTGGGTTAAATATACAGTATACACATCATAAGGTAAATGCAAGTTAACAAATGGACGTACAATTTTAAATTGATCAACTATGCAATTGACAAGTGTACATATAAAACGTTTGCCATGCAATGTCTAATGGTTGAAATATTACCTACGAGCTCGTGCGATCCTTCAGCCGATGAACGATGATAATATAATAAATTATCGACGTAGACGAATAGCTTTAACTGATGAAAAGAACTTTGGTAGCAATGTTGTAAGCGACTCTAAGTTACTGTTGATTGAAATGTCATTGGCGGCTTCGTGCTTGGAATGTAGATACACGATTTTTATGTTTTCAATAGTCATATATTTTAACTGTCATCAATCACAGACATTGCTTTGAGTTATAATAACATACAGGTTTCGTTATTCTACTGTAGTAAACTGGAATAATGTGGCAAGATGGCTGTAAACTATTTTAAAAGCTTAATTTACTACTATGCAATTAATCAATAGAACATGTTTGCTGTGCAATGACTCATTTGTGGAAAATAAAACTGACAGGATATACAATCCTTTAGCTGATGAATCACATTGGCAGAACAGTACGAAGACATATGGATATTTTTTACGCATTAAAAGAGACTTCTCCACAAACTAGTAAGCCTTTAAGTGACTATTTTGTGCATGATTACTGGCTGCCTGATACTCGTATTCCAATTTTATGTTTTATTAGTTATGGATTTCAAGTGTTTTATCTCATAGACATTGCATTGTACGTGTTATAATACTATACAGATTTCGTTTATCCTACTGTGCTAACTGCGAATAATGTTGCCAAAAAAGGTAAAAGTTTAATTTATGAACAATACAATGTGCAAGTAGAACAACCTTGGCTGTGCAATGGCCAACATAAAAAAATAAGGAAAACTGACAAGATCCACGTACAAACCTTTAGCGGATAAATGAAGCATGCCTGACACAGATGGATAGTTTTAACTACTGCAATCGAATGAGACTTCTTCAACAAACTTGTAAGCCAATAAGTTATTGTTGTTTGTAAGATCGTTAGCTGCCTTATGCTCGAAATGCTGACGTATGATTCTATGTAGATAGTTTTTATGTATGAGTAGTCCATTTGTTATAATTGATCGATATTGCATAGACGTATTATAATGAGAGACAGGTTTCGTTATCCTACTATGCCAAAGTAGAATAAAGTTACAAATAATTAAAGTTTAATTTATTCTGATCCTTTCGCTGATGAATCATATTTGCAAAATAGGACTAACACGAATGGATAGTGTTAACGACCCAAAAGAGATTCCTACAACAAACTTGTAAGCTACTAGCAGAGAATTTCTGGTAAAAATCCCTGCTACTAAGTTTTTACTTTTTGTGAGGTCGTTGGCTGCTCGTACTTGGAATATCAATTTATGATATTCAATTTTAAAAGTTGTGTATTTTACTTGCAATAAGTAGTGGATATTATGAATACTGTATATAATAGCATACTGGTTTCATTACTACTATACTAAATTCGAATAATGTGAGATGGCTGGAAAATACTTGAAAATTCAAATTTAATTATTAATTTATTATTATTCGTAAACGCTTGCAAAACTACTTTGTAATAACTAATGCGGGAAAATACGACTTATCGATGTGCTATTATGAATTTACGACACTGCTCAATCATTTTACTACTAAGCTTACATTGCTGTTAGGCTTGATTAACTGCATTATGATGTTTATAAACACTAATAAATACTTGTATAATATGTTATTACACTACTTGCGAGTTACTGCACTATATGTAATCTCTACTGAAGTCTATCATCATCCGACTGATCCTCGTATATCGTAGCCATTATGAATACAAGCACAGAAAATATGTTATTGCCGATTTCTTTATGCAACGTAGGAATTTCCGACAGTCTGCATGGGTGTAAGATAGATCTGATTTACAACAGATTAATACTTATTTCATTATAAAGTAATATTAGTAAGGCAAGACAACGTAACTGCAGCAAAACTATGAAACAGAAGTTGTGGATCACTTTATAAGCTAATAAACCTAGAGAGTGAGATTATATGATAGCATGTATACATTTTTAATACTATAGGACAATGTATAACGCTGTGTAAACTGGCGACAATTTATGAAATCAAGAATTTTAGTTCAAATCAGTATTAACTAGAAATGATGGTCTAGTATCAACTTACAAAATTATCATAGGTCGATAGGCAACAAAGCCTCTATTCCTTGTTTAGAGCTATTAGTTAGGACACGCGTAAAGTAATCTGCTGCACTAGTGCAAATTGATCTATGCTGAAGTTATATATACAGTATATAAAATATGTTACACGATGCAAAGTTAAAACTACTAAAGTTAAGCAATGCAAATTCGGACGATAAATTGCTTGAGATCAATTAGACGTATTATCCAAATGCGACTTAAAACAACTGCTGTACTAGTGACTTCAAAACTATATTCCACAATAGCTATAAAGTTTAAAATATCGATGCCACTTCATTACCAAAAGTAATCTTATTCGTTAATATTAGAGTAATGCAAAATTTATTTTACTGTATATTAAAATATTAGACGATTTATTTATCAGGAACTAAGATGTACAATGTTGTACGTGAACTATAACGAGCGAGGGATCTAATAGTATCTTAGTATAATATGTCTCCACAAAAAAATTGAAGAAGAAATGCCCATTATTAATTGTGCTTGGATCACTTATAGCCATCATATGCTTCTCTTCCATTCGGCTATTTTTTCTTCAAGTTGGTCCGCTATAGAATTCTTTTTCATCTTACGTAAAGCTGCAACCACGACAGAAATATCAGCTTTTTGCCCAGCATTATTTTTCCACAATTTTAGAACTTTGTACACTTTATCGTAGCCGCCATGTTCTCTTAATTTAATTTCGTCAACTTCTTTCTCTGACAAATGCAACAAGTTCCCCAAACGTAATAAATCGTTTATATGGAGTTTCTCTGCTATTATATCGAAGAACTCTGTATCCATTTCTATATTAAAAATAAAATGGAGAACATGAACTATTGTTCAAGTCGCCAAGGTTGTATCTGATCTAGAATGCATGATTAGCAATGATATAGCAAATGCTTTTCATAATAACTGTAATTTTAAAACTGATGATATTTCATAAAATGCAACCTGCTGTTAATATTACGAGTTAGGATTTTTAATTGTCGCTTTAGGGTTGATTCAATTTTATTACTATGAACTCTTCTAAAAGCTTACTGGACAAACAATCTTGAACTAATTTAAATCGGAAAATGAACTCATAAAATGATTATCTACTATCCAGATATTTCACAGGTGGTTAGCTAATCTTATAAAGCTAACATTAACTTAACTTTAACAACATTAACTTTTTTAAAACAGATGATAGAGTTGCAAGCATGCAAGTGAAATGTATGATTCTCTTTTATATTATCAGTGGCAAACGTAGCTGAAAGTAATATATCACATAATTCTTGATAATAATCAACTATTGTTTACGCTATTACAAAATTACCATCTGATAATACTGAATCATCTTTAGTGGGTAGAACAGGCAGCTTTTCTGAATCAGACCGCTTTGATGGGTTGGGCTGCCAAACATGACAAACTTTACTTAGTAAATTAAACAGAGTCTATATACTTCACAACTTCAAGGTTGATTATAGATATTGTTCATTTACCTCGTTGGAATTTACTCTCCTCAAGTAGCAAGCCTTTTCATTGGTGTCTTGCTTCTGGTCTTGAGGCTGTAGAAAGATTTGAGCTATATCAATAGCTGCTTTATCGATAACCTTGCAAAAGTAATGGATAGCATGATAGCTAGACTCATTCCAATTGATAGTAACTTTCTTTGGCTTTAAATAACCTTCAGGATAATCTAAACCTCGTTTCTTAAATTTAGCTTCGTAATCACCATTATCTAGAATAGTATTTTCAAGTCCAGTCGTAGCTAAACGTATCCTAATAAATGTCTGATCGAATACTGGCACGATAGCAGTTTCATCTTCATCTTTTTTAGATAAGATTAATTTCATATGGACGGTATCATTACTTGTGTCTATTTCGGATAGGAAAGCTAACGTTTTAATTCGTTGCTGCCAAGATGGAAAGATATACTTGAGGATTGAATAAATGGTAGATTTGACGTAGGAATAGACGACATAGTCAGAGAAATGGCTTACTGCAAAAGTAAGGCAATAATATCCATTTTTATCGCGGCTACATTCATACTCTACATCTTGCTGTTCCCACTTCTCACATCCGTAGCTTCGACAAATGATCTTTATTGGGATATTAAAGTTGTCGTTTTTCTCAAGTGAAGCTATCTGGTTGATATATGGAACGGGGACTTGAAGTAAAGCTTTCCTTGTGCTATTAGGGGTAAATTGATACCCATCCGGCTCGAGGCGAACGATTGGCGATAACTGGATAAAGTGGTTACCATCAGAATCTTTCTGAATTGGTAAACCTTGATTATAAGGTGGATCTGCATAGTATACAGTCATGGTTAGGGTGGCCTCAGTTGTTATACACTGAGCTGGAAGATGAAATTTTAATCCAGGTACTTCAGGCAAGGTTAAATCATGATCTTGATTAACTTGACAGTTATTCGATACCTTTGGATAGCCAGCTTTGGCTGTGCGATAGTGACGT